GATGGTGGTGGTGGTGGTGGTGGTGGTGGTGGTGGTGGTGTGTGTGTGTGTGTGTGTGTTAGAATTACAAACAGGCCTTGTGCATCTTAAGCCATTGTCACACTACCAATTGAGCTATATCCTTTATTTCCTCTCTTCTCTCTGTGTTCATGTATCATTATAAATTTCTACCATGACTGATATTTACTTTAATCAAAGTTTATGTTGATGGAACAGCTAAATTTGGAATGGAATTACATTTTTATAAAATGATATTTTGAGAACTTATGTTTTTGTAAAGGGGTTCAGGAGGATAAATATAAAAGTGTAGGTAAGGAGCATTATCTACTGAAGCTGTGCATATTCTATCTCTTTCTCTATATTACTTAGACTTTGTTCTGGGAATCAAAACCACTCCTGATGACATTATTTGCCTGTAGGCTTCTAGAGCATATATTCTTCAGCCTTAAAAGCAAACCAAGTGCTGGGCGTCAGTGACTCACACCTGTAATCCTAGCTACTCAGGAAGTTGAGATCTGAGGATCACAGTTCAAAGCCAGCCAGGGCTGAAAAGTCTGTGAGACTCTTATCACCAATTAACCACCAGAAAACCAGAAGTGGCTCAAAGTGGTAGAGCACTAGCCTTGAGCTGAAGAGATCAGGGACAGCACCCAGACCCAGAGTTCAATGCTTATAACCTACCAAAATGAATAAGTAAATACATACATACATACATACACACATACATACATATATACATACATACATACTTACATACATACATACATAAACAAATAAAGCAGCTCAAGTGTGCATTCCCTGTTGGTAATGAAATACAAGGTTGTTACCATGTTTACGTTTTCCAATCTTTATACTTTGACAATGCTTTCCAACATATCTGGCATTCTAAATTATTCCATAGTCTGTGGCATGTGGTGTGTGATTCCTTTTTTCACTCCAATAATCATGAATGATAATCATAAAGAACTAATACAGTATGAGAATCATTTTCCTTTTTGCTTATGACTTTCAATCTATGTCTAATACTCTTGTTGATACTCAAATTATTTTTACTACCCAATTTATGGAAAACCTCTAAAATACATTGAGCACATTGAAGTAAATAGATTTAAAGTTGAACTTAGCATGATCATCCAAAAGTTTTCCCATCAGTTGTTTCCATGGCAATAAAGGTCAGCATTATCTAAGATTGAAATGTGGGAACACTGCCTAAATCTAGTCTCCCTTCAACATCTACTTCCTCTTATTCATCAAATCCTATGCACTGCTTAAATTCTCATGAAGGCATCTTTCTCTGTCCAGCATTCTAGAGAAGGAGCCAGTTCATAACTCCATCTGGCTTTTAGGGAGATTAGAGCACTGTCCTTGGTGATTTTCATGACTCTGTTTTTGCCAATCCTCCAATTTACTATCCACAGCATAAAAACAGATATTTTTTTAAAACACCTCTTAGATCATTTCCTTCTATATCATATATTTGCAGATGAACTTCAAAGGACTACTATGACTCAAGAAAGCCTCCTCTATTATGAGGATCAAAAATTTATAAGGACAAACCTAAGATATTTATAAATATGTCTTTGTGGATAAAACTATAAACTTTAAAAGAAAATCTGTGTGTGCATATGTTTGTTAATTATCAGAAACCTACCTTAGGTAAAGGTTTGGCAGGTTTACAGTGCAATCCTCCAACAAACTCAAAATTAGGTAAGTATGGACGAGGAAATTCAAAATCCCAGTACGTCCGAATTAGCCAAATCTCAGCTTTGCCCATAGTCTCACACAATGTAGTGGGTCTTCCTGGAGGAAATAAGGAAAGTTTTGGAAGATTGAGATTAGCACACACTTTTGCTAAGGAAAAGACATACCACCGATTTCTTTATAAGCTAGTAGGAGAAAAATTAGTTTATATATAATACTTATCATTCATTATTACATGCTACCAGGAAAGAAAAAAAAGAAAAGGAGGGAGGTTAACACATAGATTAAATGCTATTGAAGAAATACTGAGCAAAAACAGATACTAAAGTCATTATTTAAGAGATTAAAAGGACATGGACAAATATATGGCTAGTATGATTTTTACAGGCTCAAACTTTCTTCAACAAGATATGTATGAATTACTAAATTATAATATGTAACATTGACAGGGTCTACTTGAATTAAGCAATCAAATTTAATGTCAAAATTAATACTTACCAAAATTTTCCTAAGAAATGCAAATCAAAAAACATTAAGATTCTACTTCATCTCAGTTAGAATGGCCATTATCAAGAAAATAAATGATAATAACTGTTGGTGAGGGTGCAGCCAATAGAGAACCTTAATGCACTGTTGGGGAATGTAAATTTGTTCAACCATTCTGGAAAACACTGTGAAAATTCCTCAAAAAAATAAACATAGAATCCCCCTGGGCATTTACTCAAGATTCTACTCCTGGGCCTTTACCCAAAAGATTACAAATTAGGATACAGTAAAGCCCAACCACATTTTATGTAGCTAAGGTATGGAATAAACCCCGATGTCCTTCAATGGATGAATGGATCAAGAAAATATAGTATATATTCCAACAGAATGTTAATTATCCATTAGAATGAGATTGTACCATTTTTAAAGATAAAGAAAGACCTGGAAAAGTTATGTTAAGTGAAGGAAGTCAGGCTTAGAGAGACAAAAGTTGCATGTTTTCTCTTAGATGTGGAAACAAGATTTATATTATAAACTTATAAGTAAATATGCTGGGTGATATGCAAGTATATACAAATGTATTAACTGAAATATGGTCAATTTAAGGGAGATCTGGAATAGTGTAATTCCTTAGAAAAGTAAAATCAAAGTTCAGCAAAATTAAACACCAGGAAGTACATATCTGAAAGAGGTGGGGTGGGGTGGGGACAAGGGGAAGAGTAGACAACTGAAGAGAAGAAGAGGGGACGAATGCAGTCACGAATCTGATGTATATTTCCCAAAATTAAGAAGAGCAAGGGGAGGGTAGATTGGGAAGCAATGGGTGAGAATGTTGAAAGGGTTGACCTTGATCAAGATATATTGTACTTATAAATTGCTTTGCTAAATTAAAATTCCTTTGTACAACTACTTAAAGATAATACATTTTTTCTAAGAATAGGCCACTCTGAACAGGTCAAAAGATTACATCTGTAGCATTTGACAATAATGTATAACTTCATTATATCCATAAAAAATACCAGAACACAGCAATTAAGTGATGTTCAAAAATAATTCACTAATACTATTCACAAATGAGTTAAAAGAAAGACTGTGAGAAGTGTCAGAGAAAACAGTGGAAAACAGTAGAGATTGGACAAATGAATGCAATTGGCAGAAAGTACTGAATAGAAAAAGATAGTATCACAACAGGCAAGAAAGAAAGATTTCATAATTTTGTGGTTTTATTTTAATGGCTATATACATTTTAACAGTAAAGAATACTAAATCAACCTGGGCACTGGTCGCTCACACCTGTAATTCTAGCTATTCAAGAGGCTGAGATCTGAGGATTGGGGTTTGAAGCTAGCCCAGGCAGGAAAACCTGTTAGACACTTATTTCCAATTAAATCATAGCAAAAGCTGGATGTAGAGCTGTGGTTCAAGTGGTAGAGTGCTAACCTTGAAGCAAAAGGAGCTCAGAGACAGCTCAGGATCAGTGCCCAGGCTCAGAGTTCAAGCCTCAGGACCAGCAAAAAAAAAAAAAAAAAAAGAATCAACTTAAAATTTAACACTATTCCTATTTGTTTTACTAATGCAAATTTATGGTACACTGGTCTATTTAATGCTTTATTTATGTATGTATTTAAGTATTTATACAGCATGGGGTAATAATTTTATTTGATGTATTCTATTGCTGTTTGTTTTTGTTTTGTTCTTTTACCCAACTTTTTTTAGAGGTTTTAAATTTATCATACTGGAACTTCTATTCATTCAATACAGTCTTGATGTTTTGGGGTACTTTTTATTTACTAGAACCACAATCTATTTTATTTATTTTATTGTCAAGGTGATGGACAATGGGGTTACAGTTACATAAGTATGGTAGTGATGACAGTTCTTGTCTAACTCCCTGATTTTCTCCCTCTTTCCCTCCCCCCCTCCAACCACCCCTTAAGTTGTACAGATCACTTCCAACATATTGTCTTGTAACTACTGCTGTTGCATAGGTTCCCCTTTGTCCTTTGTCTGACCAGTTTGTTGTTCCCCTTCTGTTCCTAGTTCAGATAATGCATATACAATACTCAAGGTACCAAAACTGAATGCAGTAACAACAGGGGATAAACCATAGGGGGAAAAAAGCACAAGCGATAAAAGAAATAACATAGTACACTGAGAACAACAACAAAGAAAAAACTCTTGTGTCCAGGTCTTGGAGTTCATTTCACTTAGCATCATTTAATATGGTCATATGTGCACAGCTATTGAGCTCTTCTGCTTATTTGCTATGATTATCCTAGAAGTATACAAATTATTACAAATAAGAGAGACCTATGTTTCTTTGGGTCTGGCTTAATTCACTTATGATTTTTTCCAAGTTCTTGCATTTCCTTACAAATGTGGCAGTGTCATTCTTTCTGATAGCAGCACAGAATTCTATTGTATATATAAAGCACATTTTCTTGATCTATTCATCTACTGAGGGGCATCTCTGTTGGTTCCGTATCTTACCTATGCTAAATTGTGCTGTAATAAACATAGTTGTGTGGGTAACTTTAGTGAGGGCTTGTTTGTGGTCATTTGGATAATACCCCAAAGTAGTACTTTGAGAACAACAACAACAAAGAAAAAGTTGTGTCCAGGTCTTGGAATACATTGTACTTAGCATCATCTTATATGATCACATGCAAGTAGCTATGGATCTATAACTCTCCCAGCCAGTTTTTTGTTTGTTTTTTGCTTGTTTTTTGAACTCTGGGCCTGAGCATTAGCAAAATTAGTAAAAAGCCCACAGACTGGGAGAAGATCTTCACTAGTCGTACAATAGACAAGGGCCTCATATCTAAAATATACTTAGACTTAAAGCTACGGACATGTAGCTTATGTCAAATTTCCTTCTTCACTCTGAGGACAGACACCTTATCAGACAATCAATTTCCTGGTTTCACATTTCTCAGAACATCCCTCCTGTGTCTAATATCTAGTAATTAGATGCATAAAATGAATATATTCCAAAATTGGAGAGCTTTGTATACTTGTTGGGTGGGTGAAGCTGCCCATGCTAAATCTCTTATTAGGCTTGATCATTTGCTCTTGAATTTGCTTTGGTTTTGCTTCAAATAAATCTTGTACTACCCAAACTCTTCTTATGTTTATTGCTGAACTCTGTCTTTGGCAAGGCCAGAAGCCTGATATTTATGTCTACTAAATAAAATAAATAATAAAGAAAATAAATTCCGATAAATTATGATACAGCGTACAGAAAGCAAGCAAGCAAACAAGCAAGAAAAAGAAAGAAAGAAAGAAAAAAAAAAGAAAGAAAGAAAGAAAGGAAGGAAGGAAGGAAGGAAGGAAGGAAGGAAGGAAGGAAGGAAAGAAGGAAGGAAGAAGGAAGGGAAAGCAGAAAAGCAGGAAAGAGAAAAAAGAAAGAAGGGAGGAAAGAAAGAAAAAACACAAGGAAAGAAACAACCTATTTAAAACTCAGAAAGCATAGAAGCAGGATGATGTACCATGGAAGGACTTGAAGGATCAAGGCAAAAGCAAGCAATCACCAATCAACTGGCTTGACATTACGACTGTGTTGTATTAGTTTCAAAACTGTATCATTTAAAATAAAAGGTGTTTTGTTTAAATGTTCAGACTATCTAAAAAAGTGAAGACATTTTATATACATTCACTTTAGGTTTCCCTTATTACAGAAATCTGACTTACTACTAGTGAAATTAGTACTTAGTTTATACTTGAGTCCTTTTTTCTTTACACAAAATATTTGTCTTCATTTTCCATTTCATTTCTAGTATAGTTTTCTGTACATAATTTACATTCATGAAATCCCTAATGAAAATCATGTTGAATGATTACATTTTCTTTACTTTGTAATATGGATACTGAATACTGGTTCCTGGTCTCTTCCAACTTGGCTTGTGCTCAAAGCCTCTCTCTCTTGTTCAGTTAATAAACTTGATACTCACACCTGTAGTTCCACAGGGAACCACACCTCCAGTTTGGCATTTTGCTGGTCAATTGGAGATAGATTCTCTCATACTTTTATGCCTATTCTGGCTTCAAATTGTAATCCTTCAGGCCTCACTTTCCTAAAGAGATAAGATTACAGATACCAGCCACCAAATCCACCTACTAACTGCTTTCTGTATTAGTAATACAATTGGACATGTTTTCAAAGAAATATACTGAGTTGGTTTGGCAAATTGTTATTAATATTACAATCCTCTGTGATAGAATATAATGTTCTTAACTGATAATGGCATAAGAATTTTCTTCTGGTGAAGGACTTGGGCATTAAATTTTCTACAAAGAATAGAATATTGCTTTATCCTAAAGCTAAATTGCAGAGGAGTATTATCACTGATCTGGAATTGTTTAGGTAATGTTGTACATTAATTACTCTTTTTTGGGGGGGGGAGTCTGGTCGTGGGGCCTGAACTCTGGGCCTGGACGCTGTCCCTCAGCTCTTCAGCTCAAGGCTAGCATTCTACCACTTGAGCCACAGCACCACTTCTGGCTTTTTTCTTTTTACTCATATGGTGCTGAGGAATTGAACCCAGGGCCTCATGCATGCAAGGCAAGCGCTGTACCACTGAGCCACCTTCCCAGCCTCTTAATACTAAATTATA